CAAGAGTCTAAAGACTTGCAAATGAAATTCTTTTGCTATTTTAAAAAAAAGTAACCTTGGCTCATGCATGCATCAACAGTTAAAACATTCCGTGAAACCTTACTTAAAATAAGGGTGAGGTGCAGAGCTGGTTGTGAAGAGGCCGCACTGCATGGCTAGAAGGAAGGGAACATCCCAGTCAGCATCATTCTGCCCTTTCTAAAAGCAGCCCCATGGAAAACGGTAATGCTGTGCCAGTGATTCCATTTTTGATCTAGCCAGGAAAACCCCCAAATGAATATTTTTTCAAGTCAGCTGAAGAGTAACTGTCAAATGTTTGTTTTCTCTGGAAAAAGAAACATTAACCTAGAAATTAATTTCCAGAATGTTTCATTGCCCTGGAAACAAGCCTACCTACTATTCCAGTCCCACAGGCTTTTATTTGCAATCGTGTATAGGCAAACAGTCTCAAAACTTTTCAAAGAGTAAAAAAAAAAAGATTAAGGTAAATGTTTCAAGTAAGAAAGTATTCGATCCAAGCTACCTGTTCAGCTATCGTTTGCTTCTTTGGTAAATAAACCAAAAAGAAGTCATTCATCAAGAGAAATGCTCTCAAAAACATGGCCAATATTACTCTTTCCTTCTTTCAGGCTGAAGGCAAAAAGCACCCATAGGTCGTTGCAGGAGTGAAGCCAGAACCACTAATATTTGCTGGCTGTTTTGCTTATTTACCAAGTGTTTTCATCAAGCATCGCTGCAAAGCTGTCCACATGAAAAGAATGAAATGAACTGATAAAAGTTTGATGTGTGATAAGCTGTTTTTAGCTCAAAGGGAAATAAACTTAGGGAAGGCAGTTCCTGCAAGTCTGCACCACCAGCCTGGCCATTTCATACTGGGCCACTGTGCAGATACCTTAAGGAAAAATCAGCGTGAATGATTTTCTTCATAGTCTGCAGGATGTCCTTTGCTAATGGAATAACTCAGGCAAGAGTTACATAAAATCAATTTTCCGAGCAAAATGTATAGAATTAACAAAGGTCTTTCCAGCAGAAACTGGTAGCGGCCTTATGATTTGACCCGGAAAATAGTACACTCGCACGTTACTGAGTTTTTGTGAGTCATCTAATGGAAGTTAGACCTGTGAGGTAAGTGCTCCCAGGACCTGGCCTTTGGCAAGAGCGAAGTGGTTTGAGTTAAGAGTTCATAAATCCAGAGGTGCTTTTACAGTGGCTCTCTGCTGGCCGCTCTTTTTGTTTTGGCTTGGGAAATTCCTCGTGGAAGCCACTCCAAGGCCTGGTGGCATCCAGGGACTCTTCCCTTCTCCGTGTGGGAGACCCTGTGCCTCCAACGGGCACTGCAGAGCAGCTCAGCCCGTCTCGCTCCTAGCGGAGCCGGAGCCGCTCCACAGGCTGCCGCCCCCAGGACGGAATCTGAGCCCATTCGCTTGCATTCCAGGGCTCAGTAATTCCAAACTGTTTGAGGACATCCAGAAAGCATTTCAGCGTATTCACAGTGGAAGGGGATTTGGGGCAGTTGTGTAGATCTGGTGGCACGTGCAGCTTTTAAATAGCAGGTTAAGCTTCGGGTTGGAATTATATCAGATTCAGATCTGTATCCATTAACTGGTGGGTAAACCAAAAATCCCCCCAGGGACTGTCACAAATCCACCTTAAATTCTTGAGTGCTGGAGTTTGTGTTCAGCTGAAATATGTACAGAGACCTTCTGATGAAGATCAGAAGTTCAACTTAATCTTTCTGCAGTAGCTAATCATTTTAATTCAACTCTGCTCGGCAAAGTAACTGCAACAAATCCTTCTGGGCGCGTTATATGTGACATCAAGTGAGACGTGGGAGCCTCGGGTGCGCTAAGGGTGTTTGCTGCTGTCAGATGCAGGGTGTCAAAATCTCCTGCAAAATTTAAGCAAGCTCTGTCTTAAAAGGGTGTCAGCTCTGGTGAGCTTCCCCTCCTGCACCTCTCAGGAGGCTGCTCCAGGACTGGATCCTCTCTGACAGCTCAGAATTTCTTCTTGGCCTACATTCACCCTACATTTATTTGCAGACAGTTATTAAAACCCGTTGGCTTTGCTCCCAAGACAACGTTATCCATTACCTTAAGTAGCACTTCTCCTTCATGGATGCCCCCTGTCAGGTGTCCCCTGCCTGGGGGATGGTTTGGCTGGGATGAAGGAGTCACGCTCTCTCATCTCCTCATGCAATGGGGGCGCTTGGCTTTCCTGCTCGCTCCTGGTGTCCCTGTGCTCACGCATCCCTCATCCCGCAGCGATGCCGCGGCTCCGCGCTCGGCGTCCTGCTCCGCGCCCCGCGCATCACGGCTCCGCACACGGAGTCTCTGACCTGCCTTTTGCTCTCAAGGGGCTTGACAGTGCACATTTCAAAGCAAAATCTAGAACTCAGGGCCTAAGCAGAAGCATACTTAGAAATACTCGTGTGCTCCATCAGGAGGAAAAATCCACACGGTGACTGAAATTCCGACAGCTACTGACATTACTTACTCATTGCTTTTGACTTCTGTTTCAGAGCTGGCTAATGAGATTTCCCCAGCCTGCCAGGTTAGACTGCAGAGTGGTTTTTGTTTGTTTATTTTTTATCCATTATTTAATTCTTCTGTTATCTCTCCTGGCCACATCTAACACCTGCCTTGCTCCAATAAAGGGAGCTGGAGACAGCACAGGGCCTCCCTCGCCGCCCCATTGATGGGGGGGGGGACGGTGCCCTCAGGTGCTGAGCTCTGCAAGGAGATATTTAGCGTTTTAGGGGCTAAGTGGTGAGTACCTGCAGTTCCCACTGAGACTGGGAGAAGTGCTGGTGCTCAGCAGTTCTCTTGTGGGTCACCTTTTAAACAAATACTTTCTGCAAAACCTTTAGACAATCACCTTTACAAGCATAATCCCAGCTACCAGGCACTTTCTGTTCCTCTCATTTTTCCGGAGGTTTCTCATTACAGGGATTCATGGAAATTGAATGATGTCAAGGTTGCAATCAGTCATGGCTAGAAGCAACCAAATACAAGCTGGAACTGATGTGGAGGCACCCCTGAGAGGGTTTTTAAGTAAATAGAGTAAAACCTCCCAAAGAAAGTGGTGTGAGCCTTGCACAGGTGACTTTGCAATGTTTTCCACAAAGTCACAACAAATTCAAAACCTGTTCCAATGCAATCTAAGCCTCCATATTTTGTATAAGCTCTACCCCAGTATTCTGGTGTTTTAAATAATCTTGAGGCTAAGACACTGCTGGGAGAAAGGACGGCAAACCAACATTGCATCTCCCTGGTTAGCAATCTTTTACCCTATAGCTCTTGCTGAAGTAATTCTCAGTAGCACATGGTAGTTATGAAGCTATGAAAATGGCTTTGCACTGGCATGGGATTTTTGAAGCGCTTAGCAACTTAAAAGCCTGCATTCGGCTGAAAATCATTTATAAATATATTTTTCTGTTCTCCTAAATTCCCAAATCATACATGAAAATGGATCTTAGGCTGCAAGTTACCCCGTTGTAATGAAACCTTGCAGAAACCCTATGAGGTAGACAATTCACTATTTCCATGGGAAAGAGAAGGTGCGGCTGAAGAAAACCTGTCTGCCCATTTGTTTCCTTCTGCTACTGCCAGGGGAGAACACGTAGCCGCTTGTTCCTGGTGGCCCTCGCTAACTTGACTGGTGTTTCGCCTCAGATTAAGGCAGACAGACAAACACCATGTTTGCTTCAGCAGAGCAGGAGAAGTACAAAAAGACAAGGCAGTTTTTGAAAATAATGGAGGGGTAGGAGGGCTGGATGAGAAATG